AGGCATGAGCAAAAAAAAAACTAGCGCATAGCAAATTTCTCAAAGGAAAGAGGAGTGCTCGGCGAAGCCGGGCGTCGCCTTAAGAAGAAGGGAAGCCCTTCGTTAGCCGGGCGGCCCTACTGTTACATATATATATACAGGGTGCGCCCAAAATTACTTGCTCAAAGTTGCAGAGTGTGACCTCTTGATTTAGAGCAGCGATGATCTACCGGTTGCCCGCGAACAGGTTAGGCACTTCTTCCTTTATCAAAAACAGGCTTCGATCCTCAGCTCTTACTCCTTTCAAAATGGGTTGACCTCTTCCTCTCAGACCCACGATCATTCAGTTACACCAGATGGGTCGCTGTTCCAAAACCATCGCAAAAGCTCTATCAATCAGCAGAAGAACTGTGGACTTCACCATCAAACGATTCAAGGAGCTCGGTACTACAGAAGACCGCCCAGGAAGGGAAAAAAGAACAACTGTAACTTTCATTAGAAATGTTAAAGTTGTACTTGATATGGTGCGGCGCAATCTGAAGAGGTCGATGAGGAAGATTGCCAAAAAGCTGGGAATAAGTCATAGTTCCGCTCGCCGTATAGGTAAAGAGAAGCTGGGATTGACTTCTTATCGATGCCGAAAGTGCACGTTCTCACTGCATCCTTGAAGAAAAACCGGATCCAGAAGTGCGGGATGCTCCTCAAACGGTGCGCGTTGGCGCGCCACTGAGGTATTGTCTTCTCCGATGAGAAGCTGTTGACGTTGGAGTCGACCTTCACCCGTCAAAACGATTGGGTGCTCTGCTCGACAGCTGAAGAAGCTAACGAGAGGGAAGAATTTATGGACGCTCTGGACATGCAGAAAAAATCATGGTTTGGGCAGCGATCACCTACGAAGCGAAGTCCCCGCTGGTTTTCATCGACACCGATGTTAAAATCAATACGGAAGTCTACTTGGAAAGCATGCTGAAAAACATCTCGCTTCCATGGACAAAAAACCACTTCGGCTCCAGACCGTTCGTGTTCCAACAAAATTCAGCACCGGTTCATCGAGCGAGGTTGACCCAGCAGTGGTGCCGAGACTCCCAGGATTTATCAATGCTCAGGAATGGCCATCTAATGGCCCTGATCTAAATCCAATGGATTATTCCTTATGGTCGCTATTGTAGAGCATGGTCTGCTCCAAGCAACACCACTCAATTGATTCGTTGAAGAGGGACCTGCTCAGAGCATGGGAAGAAATCCTTTGGAGTACCTTCGCGCCACAGTGGACGACTTCACCTTACGTCTGAGGGCCCTTGTCCGAGCAAGTGGAGGGATTTTCGAGATTCAAATTGACTGTGTGTAATGGCTTATAAATATATATAATATATATAATATAATATATATAATATAGAATAATAGAATAGAATATATATAATATAATATAAATAAAGTGTTGTAGAAAATTAGTCCTCAATCTATCGTTTAACCGATTTTACTGCGGTGGATATTTTAGCAAGTAATATTGGCTCACCCTGTGTATATACATGACAGACAATTATACACACATATACACGAATATGCCACATGTACACCCATACACATATATATACACATGCGCATATATACACACATACATATACATACACAGATTTACCTACATATGTACACACATGTGTAGTCATGCATATAAACACATATATATGTACAAATATACACATGCACATACGTACACATATTTACCCGCATGCACATGTATATAGACACATAAACACGCATACACACATATACACACATGCGCAGTACTATACACTATACATAGACGCCCTCATAAACATCATCCACTCATATATACACATATACATGCATACACACTCACTTTTGCACACATGTATACATACAGACACGCACGCATATACGCCCATAGATACCCATTTAAACAAGTCTCACAGACATATACACCTGGGTCCGTATATATACACTCATCATATATATAGGGTGCCCCAAGACTATGGGTGCCTATTCATTGCAATTCATCTGTAGCTTCTAAGCTGACAATAGCAATGGAATCTATGTGCATGCTTTCTTGCATTGTGAGCAACAGCAAACTACAATCACTTTTCAGAGTAGCCCCTATTAGCACCGATAAAGGGCCAAAGTCTCTTCTCGCTCTCCTAGCATGTTGCATGAAGGCTCTCCTCCTCCATCTCTTCGCAGCCGTTCTTGAGTCTTGTTTTTAAGGACTACGTACTAGGATTGCAAAGCGGTGCTAAAGTTCTCTTCTAATGAGGGACCACATGGAGGGTTAAAGTGTTTAATATCTGGAGAGCAAGATGATCATTCCATGCTAATCAAGTCGGGCACGTAGGTACTACCCTCGGACGAGCTTGGCTTTATGGACCGGAATACCGTACTGCTGAAAAGACCGCGACCTGTTGGAGTCGGATCACTGTTTTGTTACCTCTATCAGTGTGCTCTATAAGTTCACGTCTTTGTTAAGAGTCTTCCCGTCGCCTGTTACTCCCCCAGTAAACATCACTTTGATGCTCTTGTAACTACACTTTCTTGGATTACTTTGCCGATGTTCCTATCCAACGAACGTGGTCGCTATATTTGTTGATGATTCGCTCTGTTGCGAAAATTTACGCGTCAGAGAAAACGACCATTCAATGAGCGTTTCTCCCAAATGTTTTGGTAACTCTCTTCATTTTTTGACCCTACACTTTCAGTTGAGATCGGAAATGAAATGGCATTTCTGCATACGATAGGAATGGCAATAAAGCTTCGCTTGACGGTATGCCATGTCCTGCTCGTTGCCTTCCTTTTGATAGGTCACTGAGGATTACAATTGACTCGCAAACACACTATTTTAGGAGCCCTATCTTTGAAAACACTCGCCTTTCTACACCTTACGGCATTGTCTTTGATTTATACTGCTTCTTTATGGTTTAGTTGCCTTCTATACGGTCATTATTGAACTCACAAAAAATCTCACTCTGTCCTTCCGTCTCTTGCATGCGAACGACTGTAGGCGACGTTGAATTGGCCTTCCCCGTCTCAAAGATATCAAAAAACCAAACACCAGAAACTGTGCATGTTGCAAGAAGACCTATTTGTGCAACAAATTAATAGCTAGTGAAGTGAAGTTTTTACATTATTTCTGCCTTATTGTTAGAGGTTCTTAAACCTTGGCTTCCATAATTTTGGGACACTATGAGCACATACATATACAAATATATACCCAATACACATACATACATACACACCTATAGACATGCATAGACACATACACACGTGTACATAAATGTACACACATACACACATTTACGCACATATACATCCTAATAAATATAACGCGCTAAGTGTGTCTGGTGCTTTGTCTGCGTGTGTGTTTGACCGGTAATCTATAAATCCTATCCCCGTGGACCTAGAGCGTCAAATTTTGTAGGAATACTGGCGGCAGGATGGCAAGGCATGCGATCGGTGGCAGGATCAGACTCCACTCACACTGGACGGGGTTTAAGCGTGAAATCACATCTTTCATTCCCGTGCACCTACAACGTTAAAATTTGGTAGGAATATTAGGGGCAAGATGGGAACACTCATGATTTATGGCAGAACTGGACTCCGCCCCCAGTAGGCCGGAGTTTGCGCGAAAATTTTGAAATTGGGCCTGGGGCGTTAAAATTTGGTAGGAGTACAGGAGGTAGGATGGGAACACTCGTGGTGGATGGCAGGACTGGACTGCGCCCACTAAGGGCCAATGGGCATGGTCTGAGCGGAAACACATAGCTCCTGTTTCCGTGGACCGAGAGCGTTCAAATTTGATAGGTGTGCAGGCGACAGGATGGAAACTTTTACAGTGGGTGGCAAGACTGGACTCCTCACACAGGGGCCGGGTATTTGCGAAAAATTTAGTGACCTAAGGCGCTCAAATTCGGTGGGAGTACAGGCGGCAGGATGGTAGCACCTATGACGGGCGTCAGGACTGAACTCTGCTCACAGTAAGCGAGGCGTGAGCAAAAAAATGTAAATTCAGACTTGAAGCGAAATTGCGAAACCAGTGTTGAATAAGTTGGGAGTAAACCGAGTTGCTTAAACACACAGAACCTAAGGGGGGTTTGTTCATGGCGGACGAAGCGCGCACGACTTCTGTCGGGTTTGTGTTTTTGGCCGAGAATGAGTAATTCCTGTTATCATTTACCGAAGCCTCAATATATGAAAAGGGTGCAGGCGGGTACCAATTTTAACACGAGAAGGTCGGCGTCAGTCGGCCGATCCGACTGGTACACACATGTGCGGGGTGGCTGAAAAGTATGAGGCGCACCGTTTAACGCTTGCTGGCATCAATCTGTATTTCCGAGATCTTTCGTAACTTTTAGAAAGCGCGGGAGCTGTGCAAGGAGCCATATAAGGCATTCGATTGACCGCCTATCTGAACAGTCGCTATGAAAGTTTCTACGCATTGAATCATAGAGAAGTTGCTCAAAGATGGTTCCGGGAGTTGTGATATCGCGAAGTGACTTGGCCTCTTCAACCGTTCAAAATGTCTGCTGCTCTTCGGACTCGAGAACAAGACTCTGAGATGCTAAGAAACGGACGACCGAGAACAATGTACACACCGAGAGTTCGTGCCATCATCAGGAAGAGGATCACCCGCAACGATGGAGCCAGCACAAATCGTATTGCTTTTGACCTCAACCTCAGCCGCTAGATCGTTCCAAAAATTATAAAACGCCACCTCATGCTAAACAGTTATAGGCTCTGTTGAGAGCAGCTTTTTTCGGTCAGTCCAAACGAAGTCGGCTGGTTAAATGCAGACAAGCTTTCTCGAGAGCGCGGATCGCGCACATCTCTGACGTGATCAGGACTGACGAGAAAGCCTTTACGGTAAAACACTGTCCAAGTGTCAAAACCAGAGAGAACGTTGTCAGAAGTTGGCAGCAGGTCCCCGAAACGTCCACTAGTGCATTGCAGCCTGCCATCAGAATGCAAACCACATTTCGGTCGATGGAGATCACAGGTATCCATCGTTCAAAATGCGAAAATCATCTCTGAGGTCTATGAAAAGGTAGTTTCAATGGTCAACCTCTTCTATCGTAGGTTATTGAACGCTTTGGTAACCGATCGTTTGTCTTTTAGCAAGGCTAGGAGGTACGCATGCCTCAAAGCCGACGAAATCAGCACTGGACGCACAGTATGGGTATTTGGAAAGGAAGATCACGGGACGCTTCTACCTCTCGTTGGACGTACTAAAGTAGGCGCTTCAAAAGGTGTGGGACGATATCGACGTGGTCTACCTGCGGCGCAGTGTTGATCAAGTCATCGAAGAACTAGAGTCCTGTGTGTGAACAAAAATATAAAACATCGAACACTTCTTGTCCTAAGTGATCATGTAGTTCTACTCTATTCCTCGACAAGGTCAATTTATCTGCACCTGTCACCCGTCGTCCCGTTGATCGTCGATTTCCTCGAGCGGGCGCCAGTAAAGTCTCCATTCGTCCCTGTCACGAGCCAGAGTGGTCCAATGAATCGCTCCAGGGACACGAGGATCAACATTACTTTCGTTCAGAGCCTTCGTGGAGAAGTCTGACCATCTCGTGGGCGGCCGTCCTGGAGTTCGTTTGACGTCGCGAGGGATCCAGTCAGTACCGCCGTGGTCCAACGGTCATCATTATATCGCATAACGTGTCCGGCCACCTGATCTTCGATTTCTTAGCGGAATCAACGGCATCCCTGATCTTCGTACGTTGAAGGAGCTCGGAACTCCGGATTCCCTTCTGCACTTGCGTGTACAGGGAAATTTCGAGCATCGTCCTTTCCAAAGCGCGTTGAGCAACGCTGACAGCATGCTCATCCTGCTTTAGTAGAGTCCAGAAGTTTCTGAGACGTACGTCAAAGCAGGAAGAACAGCAGTGTCGAAAAGGTGAGCGCGTAGCCGGATGTTCTTTGTCTTCTTCACTACTCCCTCCCACTATTCTGGAATGCTCCCCCCGCGGCGCGTTTCCTTCTGCACAGCTCCGGAGCTAGGTCGTTCATTACGTTGACTTCCCGACCTAGATACACATAGCTAGAGCACTCGGAGATATTCTTTTCATTTAGCGTGAAGGGAGCATCAGGTACCAAACCGTTTTTCATGAGCATCGTCTTCGTTAGGTTCAGTCTCAATCCGATCTTTCCACAAGCATTGTCAAACTCGGCTAGCATTCGTTCCGCCTGCTCGATGTTCGGTGTTATGAGCCACGATGTCGTCTGCAAAGCGGAGGTGATGTAGGTAGCGGCCGTCGACCTTCACTCCCAAGTCTTCCCATTCCAAATGATGCATGATATTCTCGAGAGCGGCACTGAAAAGTTTGGGCGATATGGTATCGCTCTGCCGGACACCTCTCTTCACGTTGATAATGACTTCCTGTAGAATGGTGTAATCCTGGTCGTAAAATTGTCGTAGAGCTCACGAAGCATCCTTATATATTGAATAGGAACACCCTGGTTGCCAAGGACTTCGATTAGCGCTTCTGTCTCGACAGTATCAAAGGCTAACCTTCAAATCGATGAACGTAAGACATAACGGCATTTTGCACTCTCGCGATACTTCAGTGAGTCTTGTAAGAGTGTGGATATGATCGATTGTGCTGAACACTCTCCGAAACCCTTCTTGCTCACACGGCTGTCCATCTAATTTTCTGCCGAACCTGTCTAGGATGACGCGAGTGAAAAGCTTATAGATTACAGACAGCAGGCAGATTTGGCGATTATTGCCAATATCGTCTGGATCTCCCTTTTTGTACAGCAACACAGTCTTGCTAATTTTCCACGATGTGAGCACTTTGCATTCCGACAGGTACCGCGTGAAGAGCCTAGCCAGAGTTGTGACGATAACTGGTGGAAGTCTCTTCAGATGTTCTGGTTTGATCCCATCGGGACCGGGCGCCGTACACTTCATCGACGTGATGGCATGTCGGATTTCTGAAGAGGGAACCGAAAGAGCGATATATTGCCTAAGATGGTGGGTAGGCAGGTAGACGTGGCTGTCGAAGAGATCCGAGTAGAAGTCGTAGATGACCTTCTCCATTGCCCTTCGAGATGCAGTAACTGTTCCGTCAGGACGACGAAGGGAAGTCATCTTAGTCTTTTAATTGGCGAAGCTCCGTTGGGCTTTGCGAATGCTCTTTTCGGCCTCGGCGGCTTCGTCCATAACTGCTGCTCTTCTCTCTTTCAGATCTTCTTTTATCGCTTCTCTGCATAGCTTCGCAAGTTCGGACGTTTGTTGGTGATTGCCTGTAGCTCGCGCGATTCCACGCTGGCGTATCAGCTCGAGAGTATTCGAAGCGAGTCGTCTCTTGGCTACTTTTGGACTCTCAGCTTTTCTAGCGCTATCGCGAAGGTGTTCGACGAGCCGGTTGTACTCTTCATCGATATTGTCTACAACGGAATCTTCCCACTCACTCGCAATGGAAGCGATGTGGCCGCAGTTGATAGAGGTCTTGGGGCTTTGTTTCCTAAACTTTATAGCTCTCTCTCCACGCATGGGGCTTCGTTTCCTGAACTTCGCAGCTCTCTCTGCACGCTCTGAAAAACGGAATCTAGCGCGGAGGAGACGATGGTCCGATCCCGTGTAGAACTTCGGAGCAACAGCGACGTCGGTCTAGAAAACCTCCAATTTAAGATGATGTGGTCTATTTCATTATGGAACTGTCCACCAGGTGACTCCCATGTCCATCGCAAATGAGAGGATTTCTGGAACTGCGTGTTACCATGTATGGTGTGGGTCGT